GGGTGGTGTGTGCACACTGAGGGGAGAGGAGAGGGTGCTGGAGAGTGGTGTGTGCGCACTGAGGAGAGAGGAGAAGGTGCTGGAGGGAGGCATGTGCGCATTGAGGAGAGGGAGCTGGAGGGAGGCGCATGCACACTGAGGAAAGAGGAGAGAGAGCTGGAGAGTGGTGTGTGCACACTGAGGGGAGAGGAGAGGGAGCTGGAGGGAGGCGCATGCACACTGAGGAAAGAGGAGAGAGAGCTGGAGAGTGGTGTGTGCACACTGAGGGGAGAGGAGAGAGAGCTGGAGAGTGGTGTGTGCGCACTGAGGAGAGAGGAGAGGGAGCTGGAGAGTGGTGTGTGCGCACTGAGGAGAGAGGAGAAGGAGCTGGAGGGGGGCATGTGCGCATTGAGGAGAGGGAGCTGGAGGGAGGCGCATGCACACTGAGGAAAGAGGAGAGAGAGCTGGAGAGTGGTGTGTGCACACTGAGGGGAGAGGAGAGGGAGCTGGAGGGAGGCGCATGCACACTGAGGAAAGAGGAGAGAGAGCTGGAGAGTGGTGTGTGCACACTGAGGGGAGAGGAGAGAGAGCTGGAGAGTGGTGTGTGCGCACTGAGGAGAGAGGAGAGGGTGCTGGAGAGTGGTGTGTGCGCACTGAGGAGAGAGGAGAAGGTGCTGGAGGGAGGCATGTGCGCATTGAGGAGAGGGAGCTGGAGGGAGGCGCATGCACACTGAGGAAAGAGGAGAGAGAGCTGGAGAGTGGTGTGTGCACACTGAGGGGAGAGGAGAGGGAGCTGGAGGGAGGCGCATGCACACTGAGGAAAGAGGAGAGAGAGCTGGAGAGTGGTGTGTGCACACTGAGGGGAGAGGAGAGGGAGCTGGAGAGTGGTGTGTGCGCACTGAGGAGAGAGGAGAGGGTGCTGGAGAGTGGTGTGTGCGCACTGAGGAGAGAGGAGAAGGTGCTGGAGGGAGGCATGTGCGCATTGAGGAGAGGGAGCTGGAGGGAGGCGCATGCACACTGAGGAAAGAGGAGAGAGAGCTGGAGAGTGGTGTGTGCACACTGAGGGGAGAGGAGAGGGAGCTGGAGGGAGGCGCATGCACACTGAGGAAAGAGGAGAGAGAGCTGGAGAGTGGTGTGTGCACACTGAGGGGAGAGGAGAGAGAGCTGGAGAGTGGTGTGTGCACACTGAGGGGAGAGGAGAGGGTGCTGGAGGGTGTTGCGTGCACACTGAGGAGAGAGGAGAAGGTGCTGGAGGGAGGCGCATGCACACTGAGGAAAGAGGAGAGAGAGCTGGAGAGTGGTGTGTGCACACTGAGGGGAGAGGAGAGGGTGCTGGAGGGTGTTGCGTGCACACTGAGGAGAGAGGAGAAGGTGCTGGAGGGAGGCGCATGCACACTGAGGAAAGAGGAGAGAGAGCTGGAGAGTGGTGTGTGCACACTGAGGGGAGAGGAGAGGGTGCTGGAGGGTGTTGCGTGCACACTGAGGAGAGAGGAGAAGGTGCTGGAGGGAGGCGCATGCACACTGAGGAAAGAGGAGAGAGAGAGCTGAAGTGTGGTATGTGTGCACGGAGGAGAGGGATCTGGAGGGTGGTGTGTTTGCTCACACTCAGTATAGAGGATTCCTGTTCATTGATACAGGGGATACAGAAAAAGAGATTATAGTGTCATCAATCTCTTTTTCTTTTTTAGTAAAGTGAAGTTGCTAGAGGGCCAGACCATTATAAATAGGGAAGCGGGTTGGTTACCACGACAGTAGAAGTGATTTGTTTCGGAAGATATGGGGAAACAACGCGATTTAACAGCCTTTGAACGCGGGATGATTGTTGGCACTCGGAGCCATGGAGCGAGTATCAGCAAAACAGCAGAATGCGTTACATGTTCAAGAGCAGCTCATTGTTAAAGTGTTTAACCACTTGAAGTCTGGGGTGATAAACCCCCTTCCCATCCCGGCCATGTTTCAGGATTCAAGGCTGCGGTACTTTGACTGGCATTTATTCCGTCATGCAACGCTGTACTGACATGAATTTTATACCCTTTTTTGGGGACAGGTACAGCTTTCTTTTGGTGGGATTTAATCACCACTGGGGGTTTTATTTTTTAATATATTAAGGAAAAAATTACAGCAAATTTTTTAAAAAAAACAGTTTCCCCTATATTAAATTCTAAAACATTTATTATTACCCAATTTTTTGGTAAAATATAAAAGACGCGGTCACGTCGGGTAAAAATACACCAAACATGTCAAGGCTTAAAATTGCGCACGCAACCTCAAAAAACGACATTACCCAAAATTTGCCACAGGCGACGCTTTACAAGCTTTTACCGCTCATCAGTTTAGTGTTATCAGTCCGTCCGTTTTTTTTTCTACGGGTGGACGGCAACTGGTTAAAGACCGGACTGTCAGCCACAAATCTGGGTCTGAACGTGCGAATTGTGGCCGTCGGCGACTAGTCAATGTTAGGGCAGAACGGGGGAGGGGCAAGACTGGTACAAGACAACAGAAGGGCAACAGTGCCGTGTCAGATTCCTCGCATCACCTTTCATCATCTCGTGGAGTCACCAGGCGGCTCAACCAAGTACTGATGGGGGGGTCGTAATAATCTGGCCACTCAGTGTATATAGAAGGGAGGAAAGATGGGAAAAACAGACCTGTTGAAGTAGAGGACAGATGTGGACACAGCGGACGCCCACCTCCTGCCAGGCAGCTAGGTGCTGTTTGTATGCGGACACATCAAGGTGAGAGGGCTGCCAGGAAGCCGTCTGAGTTTTCGGAAATCCAGCCAGGCGGGCCAGGTGTGTACATATTTATCTCCTGCATCTCGTTCCCCCGCCAAGAGTTCTAAGTCGGCAATACGGTCCATCTCCACTACCCACTCCGCAAGGGTTGGGGGGCGCCTTCGTGCGCCAGTGACGCGGTATCACGGTACCGGCTGCCGTGAAGAAGTGCCTGAGGAGGCCCTTATTTGCCGTTTTGATCGATCCAGGGATCATGGACAGTAACAGGATCTTAGGATCATTCGCAACGACAGTTCCGGTCACTCTGAGGTATATCCTCAACACCCCCCTGCCAAAACCCCTGAAGCTGAGGGAAGCTCCCACCATATGTGAGCCATGTTGCCTGGGGCGCCTTTCACAGCGCCAGCAGGAGTCCGGTACTGAAGGGTAGTATTTTTGGAGGACCACCGGGCATCTGTACCATCTGGTAAGTATTTTAAAGTTCTTCTCCTGGGCCTTACTGGCGACGGAGAGAGAGAGTGAGTGAGGGAACATGACTTTTCCCAGTCAGCAGTCGTGATGGAGGTACCAAGTTCGCGTTCCCAAAGCAGAGGTATAGGTACCGTGTTTCCCCCGAAAAAAAGACACTGTCTTATTTATTTTTTTTCAACGATAAAAGACACTAGGTCTTAGGGGCGTAACTAGAAATCACAGGGCCCCGTAGCAAAATTTTGTATGGGGCCCCGTGATTGCTAGTTATGCCACTTGCAGAGCCCACCATAGACTCTCTATGGTGGGCTCTGCAAGGTCTCAGTTGCGCTGTACGCTTCTTACCTGTCACCTCCGTGGTCGCCGCCGCCTAGGGTTGCCACCTGTCCGGGATTCACCCGGACAGTCCGGGTTTTGAATTGTGTGTCCGGGTTTCATGGCAGCTGAGACCCGGACACAAGATGTCAGGCAGACAGGGGCAACCAAAATTAAGATAAGAGCTACTGGCCCTCCACTGAAAATAGTCTCGACTGTGATATTTACATATGAATAAGCCGTGACTCATGTTCGGGTTTCACTGGAAGGAAAGGTGGCAACCCTACCGCCGCCGCCGGGCCCCTGCCTCCTCTTCCGTTGCCGGGCTCCGCCTCCTTCTATCGATGGACCCCGCCTCCTCTTACATCACTGGCCCCACCTGCTCTTAGATCGCTGGCCAGTGATGTGAGAGGAGGCGGGGTTGCGGTTAGGCAGGCCCCTCTCTCTTATTTACTGCAAATGCCAGTGATCGATCGAAAGTTCGAACTTATCGGGTTCTGGGACCGGAAGTCATGCGGTCCCACAACTCGATAAGTTTGGACTATCGATAGAACACCGGTGTAACCGGCCTATTCTGCCGCAACTGCTGGCTGTCACTGACACAGCTCCGCAGCGGCTGTGAGGGGGGAACGTTTTCCTTCACAGCAGCTGCTGAGCTATATCAGTGACAGCCAGCACCCGAGGCGCCATAGCGACCCAGGCAGCCCACACGGCATCAGAGGGATGCCGGGCCCCCCTGTGCACGGGCCCCATAGCGGCCGCCTGGGTCGCTATGGCGATTGTTACGCCACTGCTAGGTCTTATTTTCGGGGGATGTCTTATATTTACCTGGCTGCAGCAGTCCGCTCTCCGCTCTGATGCCGTCCACTTCGACCCCACTGGCTACGCTGTGCCTGCTGGGAAATGTAGTCTTCAGCGGCAGCCGTGGCAGACAGGAGGGTGTGTGTGCGTGCGTGCGGGCGAGGGGGAAGTAGGTAGCTGCGGCCGGACTACACATGTAAAATTCTATTATATGTGCAGCTACACCGAAAGTAAGACCTAGCGGATCTCTGCAATATAAGACCTACCACCGAACTAGGTCTTACTTTCGGGGAAACACGTTAGGTAGATTGTGGGAGGTCAGCAGGGAGAGAATAGAGTAAATAAGGGAGACGGCGTGAGGGGGGCGGGGGTGAAGAGGCTAAGAGGAGGGAGTTGAAGGCCGTATGCTCTCCCTCTTTTTCTATTTTAAAAGTTTAGATCCCCAATATTTCCCCCTGAAGCCCCTAAAAGTAAAGTGAAAAATTAAAATTTTTAATAAAAATAAAACGTAAAAGTTTATTAAAAAAATGAATTAAAATATTTGAAAAAATTTGAATAAGTTAAAAAAAACAAAAACATTTTTGGTTTTCGGGCCGACATTTTTTTTTTTTTTCCATTTCGGTTTTTAAAATTTTCCTTTTGGTGCTCCTCTAATTATAATATTATATGAACATGCAGATAAATAAAAAACATTCTCCTTACCTCGGTCTTCGTTGCTCGAAGTTGACGTTTAAATCTCTGCAATAATAAACACAGTATTTTAGCAATTCTGAAGTCTGAGAATTCATTAACCCCTTCATGACTGAGGCCCTTTTTTCCATTTTTGCACCCATGTTATATTCCACATTTTAGGCCTGAAAATGACGTAAAACCCCCCAACATTATATATTTTCTGAATGCCAAGACCCTATAGAATAAAATGGTGGTAGTTGAAAATTAAACAGAGTCCCGGCGGCAAAAGTCGCCGGGAGTCTGTTTAAACAGCCCCGATGCTGGCGACGTACACTGTACGTCGTCAGTCACGAAGGGGTTAAGACAGCCCGTCATGAGTTGGCTCAAGCTTCAAGGAGAACTATGGGGTCAGTGTTTTTCCCCATAGTTCTCCTCGTGGTCTCGGCTCTCTGCAGGGACAGGATCGAGAAGTGAGCGAGCGCCGGTATGTGTTCCCGATCTATTGAGCCGACCTGCGACAGTTTCATTGCCAGACGTCACCCCGAACTATGAGGATGAGTGACAATCACCTCATAGGTCTCCTTTAAATGATGTCATCCTGAAATGTATACAGTACATGTGCCCCTTCAGTTTGCTCTGCTTACTTTCTCCATTCTTGACTCTAGAGTCAGGGGATGGGAGCTGTTAGCCTGCGCCATTAACATTAGGTTATTGAGTTAAGAAAGCTAACAGGGTAGCTGCAGGGTCGCCCATCTCTGACTCTCAAGTTTGTTTGTTTTTTCTTTCGTTCCATTTGTTGATAGATAGATTTTAACTGGGAACGATTTTTATTACTATTTATAATCATTTTACACATATACTCTGTATTACCAAACGTATTGGGACGCCTTTACACGCACATGAACTCTAATGGCCCCCCAGTCTTAGTCCGTAGGGTTCAGTATTGGGTTGGCTCCGCCCTCTGCCGCTATAACAGCTCCGCCTCTTCTTACGCTTTGCATTGCACTTGGTGATGTGCGCCTTGGATGCAGCTGCTCGGCCACGGAAACCCATTCCATGAAGCTCTCTACGCACTGTTGTTGCGCCAATCTGACGGCCACATGGAGTTTGGAGGTCTGTAGCTATTGACTCTGCAGACAGTTGGCGACTTCTGCGCACTGCGCGCTTCAGCATGCGCTGACCCCTCTGAATAAACTAAAAAAATAAATAAACTAAATTTTAATTTAGTTTATTTTTACCTAAAAATGCTGGTTTGATAAACATTTGCGCAAAAAAGCGTGCGACATGAAAAAAGTTGCAACTAGCATTTTTTTTTTTTATTCTACAGGGTCTCTGCTTTCAGAACATCTCATTGTTTGGGGGTCTGAAGCTGTTTTCTAGCCAAAAATGTATATTTTTATCCTCATGTGTGTGCGCAAATAGTAAGAAATTGCCCCGGACAGGAAGTGGTTAATATACCTAAAACTTACAGGTACTTCATACGATCAATGAAATGTTTTCAGGCTATTTTTGAAAGGTCATCAAAAATACATTATCTATGTAGAAATAACTTCCAAAAAAAGTTCTGCCCACGAAAAAAAAAAATAACAGGAAGGGGTCTGCATGTCCAGACAAAAATGTGCAAGTAATGTGGAACGTTTTTTTTCCCACCGTGCTAATAAACAGAGAAGGATCCGTGACTTTTATGGAACATTCATTCCGTGATACACGTGTGTCAGTTTTCTTCAGTGTTCGGTTGTCCTAGATGTAAGCATGACTTATCATTTAACACGCCATCACCTCACATACGCCGATCAGCCATATCATTATGACCACCCGCCTAATATTGAGCAGTTCCCCCTTTTCCTGACCCGTCCAGGCATGGACCCCACTAGACCTCTGAAGATGTGCCGTGGTATCTGGATGACCCCCCTAATATTGAGCAGGTCCCCCTTTTCCTGACCCATCGAGGCATGGACTCCACTAGACCTCCGAAGGTATGCTGTTGTATCTGGATGATCCCCCCTAATACTGAGTATGTCCCCCTTCTCCTGACCCATCCAGGCATGGACACCACTAGACCTCTGAAGGTGTGCTGTGGTATCTGGATGACCCCCCTAATATTGAGTAGGTCCCCCTTCTCCTGACCCATCCAGGCATGGACACCACTAGACCTCTGAACGTGTGCTGTGGTATCTGGATGACCCCCCTAATATTGAGTAGGTCCCCTTTTCCTGACCCATCGAGGCATGGACCCCACTGAAGGTATGCTGTGGTATCTGGATGACCCCCCTAATATTGAGTAGGTCCCCTTTTCCTGACCCATCGAGGCATGGACCCCACTGAAGGTATGCTGTGGTATCTGGATGACCCCCCCTAATATTGAGTAGGTCCCCTTTTCCTGACCCATCGAGGCATGGACCCCACTGAAGGTATGCTGTGGTATCTGGATGACCCCCCCTAATATTGAGTAGGTCCCCTTTTCCTGACCCATCGAGGCATGGACCCCACTGAAGGTATGCTGTGGTATCTGGATGACCCCCCCTAATATTGAGTAGGTCCCCCTTCTCCTGACCCATCCAGGCATGGACCCCACTAGACCTCTGAAGGTGTGCTGTGGTATCTGGATGACACCCCCCTTCCCTAATAATGAGTAGGTCTCCCTTTTCCTGACCCTTCCAGGCATGGACTCCACTAGACCTCTGAAGGTGTGCTGTGGTATCTGGATGACCCCCCCTAATATTGAGTAGGTCCCCCTTTTCCTGACCCCTCCAGGCATGGACTCCACTAGACCTCTGAAGGTATGCCGGGGTATCTAGCACCAATCCGTCAGTAGCAGATCCTTTAAGTCCTGTAAGTTGTGAGGTGATCGGCCTCCATGGATCGGACTTGTTTTTCCAGCACATCCCACAGATGATCCATTGGACTGAGATCTGGAGAATTTGGAGGCGGAGTCATCACCTCAAACTCGTTGTTGTGTTCCTCAAACCATTCTTCAACCTTTTTTGCTGAGAGAGGCCATTGCCATCAGGGAATACCGTGTCAATGAAGGGCTGTACTTGGTCAGTGACAATTTTTAGGTCGGTGGTACGTGTCAGAGTGACATCCACATGAATGGCCGGACCCAAGGTGTCCCAGCAGAACATTGCCCAAAGCATCACACTGCCTCCACCGGCTTGTCTTCTTCCCATAATGCAATCTGGTGCCATCTCTTCCCCAGGTAAGTGACCCACATGCACCCGGCCATCCACATGATTCATCAGACCGGGCCACCTTCTTCCATTGCTGTGGTCCAGTTCTGACGCTCATGTGCATACGTCCGTTCTTTGCTCTGCTCCGTCGTATACAGTGAGCGGGGAGATCGTCACTCGCAGCCTTCCCCTCTCACCTGTCACAGGAGAGCCAGCACAGCGCTGAGCTACAACTCCTGTACTGGAGGTGACAGGGGTCAATGAAGAGAACCTGTCACCTCCAAATGCGATCACACAGGGGGCTTGTTAGCTTCTGTGTGATAGCAATAAAGTTAGGTGTAAAAAAAAATTGATAAAAAGCAAAAAAATAAATAAAAAGTAAAAAAAATTATAAGAAATAATTAAAATAAAAAAGTGATAAATAAAGTTTAAAAAATAAAAAATAAAAATTATAAAAGATAATAAGACAAAAAAATTGTATCGGCAACGCAGAAACCATCCATCGCTCATAAATTTTTGGGGGGGCGGGGTTCCTTTCTGCTCGCGCTGGGTGGGACTCCAATGGCACTTGTTTCCCTTTACTGACCTCTTCTTACAACGATGCATAACCTCATAAAACCCTCAGCGAGCTACAAAATACCCCCAACAATGCCGACTCGGGACCCGCTGAGGAGCCTTTACTGGTAAACAGGCTTCCTATGAATTGGCCGCGTGCCCGGGAATGGAGCCGGAAATCATTTGCAAATACCCAAGAGATCCCCCCCAAAAAAAGAAGTAAAATGGTCTCTAATGATATATTCCGACCACCAGCAACATGGCCGTCCTGGGAACGACCTCTCATTACTCCATTCCTGGAAACATTTAAAGTCACATTCACCCTGAGATCAGAAGAAACCTTCTGTAGACTATGAGGGCGGAATTTATCTAATCCGGAGCAGTTGCCCACGGCAACCAATCAGCTTCTCTCTTCAGCTTAGATTTGAAAATAAAAGAGAGAAGCTGATTGGTTGCCGTGGGCAACTGCTCCGGATTAGATAAATTCCGCCCTCCTGAGTATCTTCACCATAGAACAATATTATCTAAAGAACAACTCCGACACCGACCCCAATCCACAGGCCGGGGGAACCACCCGCGAGGAACGCGGCAATGCGGGACTTGTCCCAGCGTGTAATCATTACAGCGAGGGTGGGCGCCTCTCATTCATAGAACATTCTGCTGATACTCGGTGGAGTGGAATTGTATCTCCTTCCTGGTCCTTCCTGGTCTTTGGGGGTCTTTTGAAGACTCAAATCACAAAAGTCAACTTCATTCTCTAAAGTGGAATATATATATATATGCAGGAAGGAAGGCGGACATTGTGGGAACCCGGCTGACCGTGTTCTGCCACCTTGTATCATGACTCCAGCTAAATTCTACCTGTCCATCCATCTATCTCTCTCTGTCTGTCTATCTATCTATTTTCCAGTTTTGATTCTACCATTTTATCTATCTATATCTATATTTCTTTCTTTCTATCTATCTATCTATCTATCTATCTATCTATCTATCTATCTATCTATCTATCTATCTATCTATCATCTATCTATCATCTATCTATCATCTATCTATCTAAGCAGTGCTACTATTAAAAGAGAAGTACAATAATAATTAAAAAACAAATTATATTTCCCTTTTTACTAGCTTAGAGCAGACATGATAGATGGATGGATAGATAGATAGATTATAGATAGATAGATAGATGATAGAGAGAGATAGATAGATAGATAGATAGATAGATAGATAGATAGATAGATAGATAGATAGATTATAGACAGACAGATGATAGATAGATAGATAGTTACAGTTTATAGATTGGATATCATCTACATAACAAGGTGGTTCGGCGCACTGACATCCCTCATTATTTTGGAATCTTATTTCATCATTTCTGGAATCGTGAAACATTTCTCTTCTGCGGATAAAATCTTCCAGCCCGGACATGAAGGAGAATAATAATACGACAGCCGGACTGGTCCGTAGAACATATAGAACCCGCATAGAAGCTGTGACAGGCTTTGCTTACCTTCAGGTGCGGGCCGTCTAATGGGCTGCGCCTCGGCAGAGATCCGGCGACGGAGAGAAGCGCCATCAGGAGCACGATGTCCCTTCTGAAAAGGTTCCCCATACCTGACGTACTACAACTCTCACTCGGCTATATCCGTGCCGCATCCACCGGTGGGGGGGAGACTCTGAAATCACTCCGTCCCGGAGAACTTTCCTTTTGCACTTTTAAACCTGGAGGATTTTTTCTTTTGGGTGTTAATACGCAGCTGGGTGGATCCAGACAGTAATGTCAGGATCCGTCCAGGCTGCGGCGGTCTCAGTATACCGCGAGCTGTAGCTCTCTATAAACTGAGCTTTGGGTGACGGGAGGACGCTAGTTTGTGACCCTTAGGAGAACTATGGGGGAAAGCATTGACCCCATAGTTTTCCTTTAAGGGAAAATAAATATTAAAGGGTATCAATGGTCAAAAACTAAAAATAAATCTGTATATTTGATTTCCATGAGCCCTCATTCACACTGGGAACGGCCGGCACATACAGCTCCGTGCGGGATGCACGGCTGTATCGGGCAGCTCCCTGGAAGGACAGGTGCTGCGTGTGATTAGTACGCAGCCCCCGTCCTTCTCTATGGGACTACGCGGCCATACACTGCCCTACGTTCGCTGCCCTACGGGTGTCCGTACTCCTGTCTGCGTCCGTATTCTGACTCCGATTGTTGCATTAGCGATGTATCCCCCTTGCTGAGACCTCTATGCCCGGCCTGTATAAGCAGATACCATCACTGCGGACAATCCTTCTCAGAGAGCTGAACTCACCAAATACATTTTCCATCCACACAGGTGCTTTATTCTGTACATCAGGTTACAGCAGACAACAGGATACAGCAGATGAATGAAGTGGCGGTATTTAAGGCGGTCAACGATGATAATGTTTTCCAAGCATGCAATGCAGATTAACATGTGGTCCTGTTACAAGCAGCCATGACACTGGAAATGAATAATGAAGAAGAAGGGGGCGGAGCATTACACACAAGGGAAGTACATCATAGATGTGAGGGACAGGAACACAGAAAACCATGTGTAATAACCAAAATGACCATTAGATGGCAATATATGAACTTAGCCATACAATATCCATAAGTAAATGGCTTAAAGGGGAACTATGGGGTAATTGTTTTTTCTCATAGTTCTCCTAAGGGTCACGGGAGGACATAAACTATACTATACAATACTGGAACTAAAAGTTTTAAACATTAAGGAGCTGCCTCCATCGTAAGGGATGTCATTAGCATTTGAAATAGCTGGAAACATTTTGACTTTACTATCAATTTACCGCAGCACAGCTGATTGGCTCCTTGTGCAGCTTCTCCCTCTCCTAGTCTGAGTTCTGCTTTACCGGGACTGCAGAGGCTTATACCAAGCCAAATTCAGGTACTTACACTGTTTGCATTTATAAAATGTGTGAGTTAAGGAATACAGAGCTGCGCTAGTAGTTTTCATCTCTTTTTTTTTTTCTTTAACCTTTGTAGGGAATGATCAATACAACTTCACATGCGTGCCAGGCCGGAGCCTGTGCAAAGAATGTGACGCTTTCTCTAGTCTCGCGGGCCCAAAGAATAAGAAAAACCGG